TTAAATTCGCAAAATAATTTCAAATATATTTTAAGTAAAAAAAAGTATATGGATATACTTTTCAACATACATGAAAAATATTCTATGCATTGTTATAAATTGTTAATTGGTATGTTTAACTCGGAAAAATTGTTAGATATTTTTAGACCTTTCGGTACTCTATCAATCAACGATGTTGAATGAGATTGATTGTAATTTAAATTTTATATCATTATATCACTTCAGARTACTAATTATACTATCACCAACCACCATAGTACTTGATGTAATTATTGTTCTAATTGATTATAATTTTCCAACATAATTATTGTTGAGTTGAATTCACGAGAGAGCAACAGACTGAAAATCGAAATTTCTCTTTAAGTTGTGCCAACCACGTTTAAGCGTTTCGGATGGCTGACGTTAAAATATTCCGTGCCATCATATTATACACCCACCATGCTATAGTGTTATTTTACTGTACACAAATATTACCAGCACGGTGGTAAAAATAAAGAAAAGTAAATTTGTTCGCGGTGACAATAATAATAATAATAATAATAACATGCGTACAAAAAAATGCAAATCATTATGAATACATTCTTATTAAAATATTATTATTTATTATGTAGGAACTAGTCAAAGCGTCAATCAACAATAATAAAATTGAGGTTCAGAAAATTACGAGTACTTATGCACGTGGTCATTAGAACTTATAAAGCCGACTTTCATACTATTCCAAATACATTTTTAAGGAGGGCACAACCACCGTATTTTATACCTAATTGTTTTTACTAAGAGTATTAGTAGTATTACAGTCTCTTATACCAATTGAATGTTTTGATTCTATCAAAAACGCGGAATTTGATTTTTTGATTATAAACTATAACATTATTTCGTGATGACAAATACGAGTTATAAATGTTATAATTATTATGTATAATTTGAATTTATTGTCTGTCTTCCCCTCCTCCCCAAGATACTTTTAAATATGTCGCTGAGCTATTCTACTTGTTAATTTTTGTTTTGTTAATATTATTTACTTACTATTTAATTTTATTATAGTAACGAAAATTTGTAATTCTTACGTGACACTGTAAAGTTGCACTGTGTCGCAGTAAAACCCGTGTTTCTCCAGGCAATGGTTGATGGAATTCCGGTAGACACTTCGGCTCGAATACTTCCACGTACTCTTCGCTAGCCACTGGCTGGCTCCATCCAAACCTGTTGCGGGCTGTTACGCGAAACTGGTACCGGGAACCTGGTTTCAGGTTGTACACATCTATGGTGTTTGTTGRAGTCATACCCACCTGCATTGTTCATCACACGTGGATATGATAAAGAAACGTGTTCGTAAATAAGTTTAAATCTGAGTGAGAGTTTTTGGGGTTTAGCTACACACGGGGTTTCATAGATTTTGACATTTTTATATCAATTCTGCCGGAAATTTGTATACTATKTTGATTCTGTCGGTTATCGATTACGAATAACATATAAATAGTTAGGAAAAAAATAATAATTACGTTATACAAAATACAATAATTACATAAAATAATATAAATATTTCAAAGGCGGTTATTATTTTTACAAAATTAAATAAAACTAGAATTTTTTAAAATAGTTATTTGTTGAAATCAATATAAGTGAAATATATCAAATTTTAATTTTAATAATCGTAAAAAGTTATT